GCTCATGCCTTTCTCCCACTTCTTCTCTAACTGAATTCATGCAAATCTCATTTGCAATCCTAACAATGATCTTGATCTTTTATTACAAGTAATAACAGCAATATCTATAGCAACCATCTTTTTTTATTTTTAAGTGCAGATCATCTCCTTAAAACAATGCTCCCCATACTATCATCAATTACTTAATTTCATAGAAAGTCTTATTCTTTATATAACATTTTTTTTTCTAATATTTTATGTACTTGTGTTAATATCATTTCTTTACTAATATATTGTATTGGTTAAATATTGATGAAAATTATCATAAATGAAAACTAACTTTTCTTGAAGCTGTTGGTAAACTAGTGTTATTTTGCACCTTATAGTCATATCTTGCTAACACTTAGTACTTGAAATAGTTGCTTGCTTTGTTTTCTATTGTAAAGCACGAATTGAGAAAATGTAATCCAGCATATTTTTGTGTATAATACAACCTCTAATTTAACCTTTATCACTTTATATATGATTTCATATGCTGTACAAAAAGTTTATCCTGCCACTGAAGGTGACTCTGATCCCTGAACAACAGTGTGTTTGAACTTCATAGTTGTGTTGTCAGATCCTGCTATGGCAACAGAAAACAACTTTGAGTGAAATTAACAATAAGGATGATACAATTGAAAGGCCTTGAAAAAGAATGCAGTAGAAAGGGGAGTAATATTAATTATGATAAAGGTTAAATGAAACAAATTCAAAGTTTGACCTTTTGTTCCTGCACTTTACAATATCCTGAAAGAACTAAAGATACTTAAATTGTACTTGTTCTAGACTGGTTTATTATACTGAATATCAAAAAGTAATATATATATATATATATATATATATATATATATATATAATAATAAAAGAATATCAAACACTTAAAATCCATAGGTAATAATTTTTTTTTCTGAGAGCTCTAAAAAAGCTCTCAATCTTCAAGACCTACAAAACTTTCTTGTAGGTCTTGAAGATTGAGAGCTACTTTTTTAGAGTTCTCAGGAAATAAAAATTATTACCTATAGCATTTTAAGTGTAATATTCTTTAATTAATAATAATTTTGCTCTGTCTTTTGACATAGAGCTCTCTCTGGATCTATATCCTCCTGGAAACTCCATACGGATTACCATATTGTATTATTGCTATATATATATATATATATATATATATATATATATATATATATATAAAACAAAACTTTCATTCATTCTGAGTAATATAGCAAATAGTTAAAACATATTGAAAATGTTTTAACTATAGAAATGCATTGGAAAGTATTTGAATATAGAAATGTAAATAATTTTGCTGTAGCAGAGCACAAGTAGATGTTATATAAGCACATTGTTTATTCTAACTGTGATATCACAGATAGGATTTATTAAAATTATGTCAACACTTTGATTTAGTTATATTCACTATATATATATATATATATATATATATATATATATATATATATATATATATATATATATATATATATATATATATATATTAAGATATAGGAATTAAAAGTAAGCCTATATCAAAATTTACCATAGAACATTTACTGTAGGAAAACAACAAATCTAATCTTAATTCAAAAGTGCCTTTTGCTACAAAACTTATACAATGTTAATTTCAGAGATGTGCATAGACTGTTTTGGTTAGCCTCATGTAAGAATTTGTAATGGCCTACTGTTAATGTTGCAAAGTGAGAACCATTCACAGGACCATTGAATAAATGAAAATTAACATTGATAGCATTAGCACTTAAAGACAGAATTTGATAATTTGACCTCAAATTTGTCCATTCATATTTCAACATTCAGCCTGTATATCTCGCATTGTTGAAAATGTGCTAAAAAAAGGAATTTTCAATGGTCAGGAAGTAATGCTAGTGTTACTAACAAAATAAAGATATATGTTTAATATAAATGCTTTGCTAATGATTTACTATAGAAATGCATTGAAAATCAGGAGGAAGGGGATTTTCAGTGGTCAGGAACCAGTGAAAGTGTTATTAAGAGTAGAATCATTATATGGTTCATGGAAATGCATTCCTAATGATTTTACTAAAGAAATGAAAATAAAAAAAAAACACTCTTCATGAAAACTTGTATTATATTCTCCAATTTTAAATGACAACTTTGGTTTAATCCTAAAATTGATCTTGACATATTTTCTCACTAACTTTCCTTAAATAATGGGAAAGTTACTGTTAAATTTTGTTTTTCAAATTCCCTATACAGTACTCAAAAAATTGATGTCATAATCAGTTTTAAAAATATTTAAAAAATTTTTTTTTATAATGAATTTGGATCAAGTGTCATTCAGTTTTATGAGATCATTCATGGAAAAATGGGATGAGGGATAATCCATTATAAAGCAACAAAAATAAGCTATTTTGGGCATGTAAACATTTTTTATTGAAAACCAAAACTCTGTCGTCTTCTGCATATTCAGTCTAGTTTTTAAAAAGGGATTAGTGTTGGGAACTTTTGCATACACTTAACATAAATGTCCTTTTCTTAATAAAAAATTTCAAATATTATTTGACCACAATTCTTTAAAATTCTATACAGGAACATCTGACATATATCTATTTTTACTTAAACTTCTTCACAAACAATTGGTTTGTAAATTTATGTTTATATTAATGAGTTCATGAGAGCTTCTGTTAGTATTATTTTGTAGATTGTCACAATATAAAATCAATCTTCCACCCCCACAACTAAAAAAAAAAAAAAATTACAGTGAAACTGATATTGTCCTTGAAAATAAAAGTCCAAATTCAAGATACAACTGAACTTCATTTTTTTTTTTTTTAAATTAAACAAAGTAATAAAGCCACTAAGATACAAAGATACAAGAGGTTACTGAGTCTGAAAGAATGAGAAAAAAAAGAAATAAGACATTATTAAGTGTTGTAGCATACCTACGGACGATAACGGGTATGTCCCCATTCCCAAATATACAGTAGTGAATACTGTATGTGGTCTAGAGTTGGAGATTCATTGTGGAATTCAGTTGACTACTTCTATGTGCAACTGGCGAATCTTATCTGTGTTGTTCTTGTCCTAAGTGTTATCATTCATTACCAACCTTCATTTGATTATTCTATTCAGTAACCTTCCCTAGGTTACAACATTAAGGAAATCAAAAAGTCACTAAGATGCACTGAGTCTGAAGGAATGAGAAAAAAAGAAAGAAAACATTAAGGAGGCAGAACATTAAAAGAACAAGAATTAAGAAGACAGTAGATAATGGTTGACATTGCATTTAAATTTTTAAAGATCAAAGTTGATTGGAAATCAAGAACCTAAAAGAGTTCCACAAGCGAGAAGTGTGATAGAAGAAACTGTTAGCATAGAACTTACGGTTATATCTCGTCATTTCAAGTGTAAAATGATGAAACCATGCCACTAATCTAGTACTGTACTTAAATTCATAAAGTCTAGGTACCATAAAGGAAAATAACATTTATTTTGATAATACAAAAATGTGGCACAAGGCCAAAGAAGGGATAGGGGAAAGCTGCTATTCAATTTGTCTTCTCTTAAACTTAGCTAACCACAATTATAGACCCAAACATACCACAATATTCCTTACACCAAAACAACAGCCACCATAATACCTCAAAGTCTCTATGTGGTCCTAACTAGTTCGCATGTGTACAATAAAGGGAAGTCCATCAGAACAATTACCATGAAAGTATTTATAGAAAAGACACAGGGAAGCTATGTTATGGTGGTCGGAAATTAACAGTTTGAAGTTAACCAGCAAACTTTAAAAACCTCAATTTTATTATCGTTGTTTAGAACAGCACATACTACAGCAAGTATTTTATTTTTAATTCAAAGGTTATTAAGGTACTAATTTAGGCTTGGTGACACATGATCCAAATTTTTCGTTATTGTCTTTTATTCAGTGTTGTTGCATGTATGCATTTGGTGTAATATATATATAAAATAGAACATATGTCAGTATACAAGTCAGCTGTTTAAACAAAAGAAATGCTGAATCATATCAGTTCATATTTCAAATCCTCTAAATTTGACTGTCTATTTGGGTGGGAAAACTTTTTTGTTTTTCTTATTCCATAATATCATATACCTTCAGGGCAGAGTCAACTATGGTTTTCTACTAATTTATTGGTCCTAAACCTGAATTAATGCCCACCAAATCTCACAGTTGACTTGTGTACAAAACATATATAGTATTAAGTGGGGTGACTTGAATTTCTTTTGTCTGTACTGAAAAGTCTTTTTTTGGTTGTTCATAAGACAAAAACAAGTTTGTGCAACATTGACATAAAGAGTGAACCATTCTGGTTCCCTGACTTAACTTGCCAGGAAGTGACCCTTCACATTTGATTTCATGACCTTCCTCTGTGGCACATATGGAATGAGACATGCAGAATCTAGAACTGCAACAGACTACCACTGTGGTGCCTTCTGTAGTATGTCTGTCATATGTAGCCCTCTTCATCCATTGGTTCAACTTTTGAGATCTGTTGTAATCATCATCCGCTTGTTCCAGCATTGGGATCTTTGGTGTTGATCACACTTAGTCTGGATTCTTGTCTTTGACCTTGCCAACAAGGTGGCCCTACCAGGAGCTTAGAACTCCTGATGGCATCACTTTCAGAGTCATTGGACCATGCAAGCCTCTCCACTATGGCAAGGAGTAACTATCAGAAGTATGCACCTCAAATATACATGCATAAATGTGTATTATTAAACAAAAGCATGTAAGATTATTTGGCATTAAATAATGTCTTAAAATCTGCTTCACTCGTCGCACAATGGGTCAACCTAAAAAGTTATAAACAAAATATTTGCTTTAAAACTTGGGCAGATGAAGCAAACATTATCTTGGGAATCACTAACATAACCTAAACCAAGTCCCCCCACTTTATTATTGTACCTGTATATGAAAATGTACCGCACCTTGTTGTCATCTTACTATTTTTCTTTTTTTTTCTTTCCTTCTTTTTCAGAAAAAAATCTGCATCATAGTCATCGTCACTGTTGTGTTAGCAATCATTCTTGCTCTTATTATATGGCAACTTTCATCATAATGTCCTTGTCTTGTAAATCCTTTCAATCATGTCCCACTCTTGTGAATCCGTAGGTGGCACATTTCAGTCTGCATGTTTATGGGGATGGAGTGTATGTACATGAGGGTGAGTAGTATGAACCCCTGCACCCCCCACCCACCCAAAAAATAGTAAAAACAACTCCTCTATTTTTTTTTTTTTTTTTTTTTTTTATCTTTATCAGATGTTTTTAATTAGGCTAACTCCAGAGAAGAATCATTTCAAACCAAACTTCAACCAGTAGCCATGTTGTGGTTTTTTTTTTTTTTTTTTTCCACCACATCGACTGAATATCTTACATTTGTATTTTGCAAAAGAAAAGTCAAAAGAAAACCTTTCTGCAACATTAATAGTTTTTGGTATGTTTTTGATTTTTTTAATTTTTTTTTTTTTTTTTTTATGTTAACCAAGGAGGGGGTCTCTCACTCTCTTATGAAAATTAATCAAGATCTAAAAAATTCTATTTGATTAACATCTTCATCTTAAAATTTATTTGTATAATTTAAGATGTGTGTAAAAAGAAAAAAAATTGAAAATCCAGTATATTTCTCAGGTTAATTTACACCTATTAAAAAAAAAATTCCAATATATCAGTAACTTATTTTTTGTTTGTTTCTTTTTCTTTTCTTCTATTTGTTTTTCTTTTCTCTTTATTTCTTATTTTTTCTTTCTTTTTCTTTTTTTGTCCCTTTTTCTTTCCTTTTTTTCATTTTCTGTCATTTTTCTGTTTCTTTTTCTTTTTTTTCTGTCCCTTTTTCTCTTTCTGTTCCTTTTTCTTCCTCTTTCTTTTCTTTTTCCTCTTTCTCTTTTGATGATCTTTCACCCTCAAAATTTTCATAAACTCCAAGTCAAAAAAAAAATAAGTTCACAAAAACAAATTCTTGCTTTGACTTCCAAATCAGAAATTGTCAAAACAAAATTTTTTCATACAATTGTAATTTTCTAATCTTTGTTCAGACAATTAAATTCCTTGTTTGTATTTACTGATGTTATTCCTACAATGCACTGGCTGATTGATTCTACAGTGGCTTTCATCAGCTGAAGAATTTGTAAACAAAGGAGAAAAAAGAGACCTTTCCAATTTATATGTCCAGAATGCCATGAAAACTACAATGCAAAGGAGTTAAATTACCTGAATAATGTATTATTATATAATTACCTGAATAATATATTGTTATTATTATATAATTACCTGAATAATATATTGTTATTATTATATAATTACCTGAATAATATATTGTTATTATTATATAATTACCTGAATAATATATTGTTATTATTATATAATTGAATAATATATTGTTATTATTATATAATTACCTGAATAATATATTGTTATTATTATATAATTACCTGAATAATATATTGTTATTATTATATAATTACCTGAATAATATATTGTTATTATTATATAATTACCTGAATAATATAATAATAGAATATAAACAATTCTTTTTAAATTTATGGACAATGTATTCTTGTTGTAACACTTGATAATATAAATTTCTTATTACATGAAATATTATATTTTAGTGGCTAAATGTGTTTGAGTAGATACCTTTCTTTTTTAAGCTCTATGAATCATGTCTACCAGCTTGTGCATTTGACAGTCTTAACAAAGAACATGTGCTCACTGGGCATTTTCTTTATTGTTACTCTTGAGTGCACAAGTTCATTTATTAATATTGTCAAATGCACAAGGTAGTAGACATTATTTATAGTGTTTTTTTTTTCTTCAAAAAAAAAGAAAAGACAAAAGATTCCTACTCAAATTCATGTATCTACTAAAATAAAAGGTTTAAAGTTATATGAAATTAAGATTAAGTATTTTAAAAATCTGTTAATTCCATAGTATAACACACACATACATATACACACACACACAAGGGGATGCTGAAAATTTCTCAGCCCAGCCAAATCTGATGCTTGGTCATTGAAATAGTGATTTTTAGTAAATGGGTTAGACCAAAAATGTATATACTCAAATCTACTGTGAGTAAAGCATCAGCCAGGTGTTTTTTTTTTCAAGAAATAGGCTTCATCCAAAGATATTTCTAAAAAGTTTAATTATTCCTGTCCATCAAAGGTAGACATTTTGGTCAGCCAACAGTTCACAGTTAATGTTGAAGGAGGATTTACTTTTTTTTGTGTGTGCTCAAAATATGAGACCAGGGTAAAAATTATTTTCTTAGATACTATTAAAATCCATGGTTGATAAAGAAAAATGATGAGGAAAAAAAAATGTTTCATAAGGAAGGATTTTGCCATAGAAGCAGAGATAGGATTCAATTTTTTAAAATAATGATTTGTTGGTTAACCATTAAGAAAGGAAATATATATATATTCTTAACCATGGCAAAATTATATTTCTAAATAATCAATTGGAAATTATGATTGTGACTATTTGTATTGATTTCCTGTGATATTACGATTTTGCTATCATTGTGTCAATTTCCTCCCACTTTCTCTAATTATATATATATATATATATATATATATATATATATATATATATATATATATATATATATATATATATAATTTTTCCAATTTTTACCCTTGTTCCTGCCTCCTCATTTCTTTTCACTCTTTCCTTACAACTCATTTAAAGTCTTTCTTTTCTTCTTCTTGCCATTTTTCATTATTTCTTTGCCCAAACTCCTCCTGTTGTTTTGGTCTCCACTCCTTCTCTTGTTTTTACCCCCATTTTGAAACCTGTATTGAGCCAACTGCTACTTTTGTGTCCCTTCGTTTGGTAACACCCTCAACCTTTATAATGTCCCAAGCTTTGAAACTTTCACTTTTATAACCTTTGCCTTATTCTAACTAGTTTTACGCTCTATGCCACCAACACTCTTTGCTATGGATTCCCAACCCTCTGGTTTCCATGCATGGCACCCACCGCCTTCAGCCCCTTTCTTAGTAACTGCTTGTTCTCACACTACATCTGTCTGCTTTCTGCCCCATATTTTGTAACCCCTTTTCTCTAAATTTTCTGCTTTCATACTCTTGTTTTGTAACCCCAGTTTTAGATCTACAATCCCTCTGCTTTCAGCCCCTTCTTTTGTAACCCATATTCTCACTCTACATTCTTCTGCTTTCAGCCCCATCCTTTGTAACTCCTATTCTCATTCTCCATCTCTCTGCTTTCAGCCCCTTACTTTGTAATCCCTGTTCTCACTCTACATTCCTCAGATTTCAGCCCCTTCCTTTGTAACCCATATTTTTCTTCTGTTATACCTTTTCTTCATTTCCAATCTTTTTCATGATTCCTAACCCTATGGATCGTATAGCTTCCATTTGACTTTTGAGTAAGAGAGAAATACATTCTCTCTTTATATCTCGCAAAATAGTCCTTTATTTGACTACATTAACTGTACAAAGACCACATTTAAACTTTATCATGCATGCTTTTTTTTTTATTCCATATGTACCAAACATTTCAAATCTGCTTCCCTCAAAAAATAACTTGTTAAAAAAACCTGTCATTGGACATAAGACAATAACCATTTATGAGAAATGTTCAGTCAAATTTGACATAAAATCAATTGACAGATCAAATATATTAAGTCATTAACCTTTATCACTCTGTATGTGACTTCATATGCTGTACAAAAAGTTTATTCTGACATTGAAGGTGACTGATCCATGAACAATAGTGTGCTTGAATTTCATAGATGTGTTGTCATATCCTGCTATGGCAACGGAAAACAACTTTGAGTGAAATTAATAAGGATGATGCAATTGAAAGGCCTTGAAAAAGAATGCAGTAGAAAGGAAATTAATATTAATAATGCCGTTTCTCAAAGGTTAATCACTGTTAATCCCTTTGGGCTTAACTTTCTGAATTCTTGCTGATAAAGTGACAGTGGATTAACATTTTTTCCTAACTTGAAATACAAAATTTTATAAGTATTTAAGAAAACTAAATCTGGAGAGGAATCCTGCTAACAGAGCAGTATAATGAAAATCCTCTTTTATGAACTATTAACTTTAATATCAGTTTTTTGACTTCTTTTTACTGTCCATTTCAATGCAAACCACTTCATTTCTGAATTCAAGGTCTTAATACAGAAAAAAAAATAAAATTTTAAAATAATATATCTTAGTAAGTGTGAATTAAAAATTTAATTAATAATCTATCTTGTAGGATATTGAGAGTATTTTTGTATAATGTACAATTTATAATTAAATGTAATAAAGATTGTGTCCCCCCCCCAACCCACAAAAAATGGTTGACCAGATTACTTCTGGAAGATAACATTGCTTGATATAAAGAGATAGAGCATTAAAAGTTGTAGATAAAATTAAATGTTCACTTATCCTGTCCCTACTGAGTTTCATGGAGATTATATCTACTTTTCAGGGGAATTAATTGCAAAACTTGGAGTAGAGACAAAAGTGAATATTTAATTTTTTTTTTTATATATATATATATATATATATATATATATATATATATATATATGAAGAAAAATATATACGGAAAAAACAAAAAAAAATCCTTATATACAATTATGCAGTTTTAATGTTAATATGTCAACGTCGGACGTTTCGGTCTAATAAACCATCTTCAGAACATATTCATAAATTATAACATTATCAATACAACATGACAAAGACGATGTACATAAGACTTATCCAAACAAATAACTGAAAGGTCATTATAAGATCAGCGCTCCGTTTAAAACATGGTCACATGGTCATTAAAACTGCATAATTGTATATAAGGATTTTTGTTTTGTTTTTTCTGTATATTTCTGTTTTTTCTGTATATATTTTTCTTCATACTGTCGGATCTATATCCATATATTTGCTTACATATATATATATATATATATATATATATACAAATATAGATAACTATACTCGTTTCGAAAAACCCTTGAATTTTTGATTTGCCAATAATCAAATCAATCTCGAGGAGAAAAAAGGTTTTAAAAAAAGAAAGAGCGAGAGACATGAAAGTCTGTCGAAAAAAAAATGCACAGATACAGGTTTGAAGCCCAAAGAAAAAAACCCCGATACGAGTAAACAACTAACTAACAAAAGAGCTCAATGCAACCGTAGAGCAGACCTAGATACACCTAGTGAGCCAGACAAAACGACCCAGGTTTCACCTAAGCGGATCGTCTGGGAAAGTCGGCTTTCCCTGACGATCCGCTTAGGTGAAGCCTAGATAGGTTTGTCTGACTCACTAGGTTTTATATATATATATATATATATATATATATATATAAATAAAAAAAAGTGTTGAAAAATTATTGGCAGACTGACTTCCAAAATATCATGAAATATCAAAATTGGGGCTTGGATCTCTTTTCACCTCTCTGTGTAGCATAAAATACAATTAACATCTAGTTATTATAAAAATTGGTGTGTTTTATTTCAAACTGTTCAATGGTAGATTGTCAAAGGTTTTTTTTTTAATTATTTGGATTCTAACATTTAGGTTAATGGAATTTACTTACACATTTTTCTAAGATAGCAACAACTCTGTTACTGCTTATGGGCACATCACATTTAAACCCCAATTCCCGTGCAATCATCAAAGTTAAGCTACATCGATCCTGGTCAGTACCTAGATGAGTGACCACTTGGGAATACCAGCTTGAATATGTGGGTGGTATAATGGATAGTGGCCCAGAATTTTTAACTGGAGTGTCAAGTTCCAATATTTGTTGGGTTCGATGTATTCACTTACACACAAGTACCCTTGTGAATCCACATCTTCTCCCTTGGCTATGGGTTAATTAGTAAGACTTGTATTACTAAAACCATTATCTCCAAAGAAAAAGAAAATTATATACAAAATATTTAGATTTCAGCATTAAATGATGCATAAAATTTGATATGCCGCTAAACAAAAACAACCAAGTGTTGCTGCTAAGTTTGAGGGGAAGTTCATATTACACACCTCCTTCAGTAACCCTCTACCTTGAGTGGCTTTGGGGCCTTGCATTGAGTGAACATTAGCATAAAAAAAAGTCAAAGACTGATCAATATCTTATATAATTTCTGTCTGAATTTCTGGGATAAGGTGTTATTATTTATAATCAGATTAATATCCTCATTTTTGTTCTTATAGACGTTTCGGCCATTATATACTCTCTGGCCTTCTTCAGGTGTCTGTCAATCTATTTAACTTACAGGGAATTTCAAACTGAACACTTTTCTTGTTCTGCTGTCCATGTCTTGGGATATTTAAGCAATAGTTAATAAATGTTCACGTAACGTATCTCCTGACCAACTTCAAAGTTTCATGTCATACTACTCATCTGAGTGGCATTATCAAGAGTTTGATAGATAAATAATCTTTTATAGTTATGTGTCAAGCTCTTGATTTGAATAAATTGCTGGCACAGAAGCTTTTGTAAATATCTGAAAAACAGCCATGGAATAATTGTGGTAAGAAGTTAGATTTTTTTCCTTCCTAAAGAAACTTTTCTAATTAATTAATAAAATTACTTATTATTTTTAATGATAAATGGGTAGTATAAAACAATAACTTTATTGTATCTTGTTCAAGCAAGAGGGGAAAACAAATATAGGATATTTTTTTCTCTATTGCTCTAACAGTTATTCTTACACAAGAAATTCTGATGGGGGCTAAAAAATTTCTAGTCTACTTCACCCCAGTACCATCTCGGGTAAGACGATAAACTACATCCACTTCCTAGTTAAGATGATAAATTATATCCACTTCCTAGTTAAGATGATAAATTATATCCAACAGCAAGCCTCTGATCAAGAGGTTTTGAGGAGCATGGAACCACCTCTTAATTAACTCGTATTCTCAGGTCCACTCTGACCCGGGGTGGTAACACATGTTAGGCTCCCAGCTATAGGCAAATAGTTGACCCTCAAACTGGAATCAAAACACTATAAAAGTGTAAAAATAGGTTTTAATACCAGCAATATATTTTTATAAAAGCTTTTTACCACCAATACATATCTTGTCGGTATTAAATTAACCCATTGAGGTTGATATGTCGTAAACCAAAACCAACCACCCCCAGTAGAAATCAAATGTTAATATAACAAAATGAGTCCTCTAATATTGCAATACTAATAGCCTTTCTGAAGAATATTAATTAATTGGAGTAACTTTAATGTATTCCTAAAACTTAGTAGGCAGGGTTTTTTTTAATCACATTGGTTTTCGAAATACAATTACTGTTGTAGCATATCTATGGACGATAATGGGTATGTCCTCATTCACATATTTACAGTAGTAAATACTGTATGTTGATCTGCAGTTGGAGATTCATTGTGAAATTCACTTGACTCACTTCTAGCAGTTGACTACTTCTACATGCCGCTGGTGAATCTTATATGTGTTGTTCTTATTCTAAGTATTATCGTTCATTTCCAACCTTTGTGTAATTATTCTATTCAGTAACCTTCCCTAGGTTACATAATTACATTGATGAGCTGTTGAATGATATACACTGGGTACTGATGAAAAATATGGAGAAATAATCATATAAAAATATTTCTTAGCTTACTTCTAGTTTCCATCAAAGTCAAGCCATTGCACATCAGGGCAGGTTGACCTTTTCACATTTTTTAGAAAAATCAACAATGTACACTGTGAAAACTGAGGTTTTATGTGATAGGTATTGCAACCAAAAATTAGATTCAGTTCTTGAGCATTTAGTTTTAAAGATTGTCTAAATTCTCCAGGATTTTGCTTATAAACAGACTTCAAAATTTTACTATTTCAAGAATAAATCCAAATAAAGTTGATATTTTTTGTATTAGATACATTGAATGGAAAATACATTCAAACTAGAATTCAAATTATGAATCATCGTAAGCAAAATATGCTTTTTTTTTCTTTTTTACCATATTTGAATAGTAAAAAAAAAAAATTGTAAAAGATTACAAAAAAAGTCTTCTCAATGAATAAGATATTTTAGATCATTTGTTAGATCATAATTAATAAAAACAAAAAACTAGATAAAAGTGTATATAACATAATACTGCTGGGCAGAAATTATAAGACAAAATGTTTTAGATTTGCATTGTTTATTGAAAATCATGCTAAAACTACAGCACTTGGATAACATATTACATCATAATATACCTAAATTGTTCAGTATAACTTCCCTTTGAAGCAAATGAACGTTTTATTTGAATGTACAATGATTTAGTAATAATGTGCTTGTGCCATACATCTTGTCCATATAAGATTTGTAAAGCTTCAGAAAATTATAAATTTTATAATACTGTGTTATAAGGCTTTCACTGATCAATGGAATGAAATTCCAATGCTATAATTTGAACCTAAACCTAATCTTCAAACTGGTTTCCTCAAAAAAACGGAAAAAATATTTTGTCATTATTTATCCTGTCAAATTTGAACTTTCAAATTGAGTGCAATACCACAGTTCCAAAATCGACCTGCCCTATTGTACACTGACTCACAGAGAGTAATATTTTGAAAGGAGAGCCTATTGTGTGCATCTTGTTCAATTCCAACCATAGTCAACTTGTCAAGGTTGACCCAAGCCTTGTAAATGAAATTGAGTAGACTGAACTGTTTGGAAACTGTTGTTGTTTGTGCTAGCACAAAGTCACAAGTCATCATGACCAAGGCTTTGAGTGTACTGACCTTACTCAAACTGCTGAACATGCCTGATTATCCACTCTTTCCTAGAAAGCATAACTATAGTCTGCTCAGCATAATCGCAGTATAAACCACAAGTGGGCTCTTTGAGGGTTGAAGGGGAGGCACGAATTTTCCTGAGCAGGTGTTTGCAACAGGGATTGGATAGATATCCTAGCAGATGGGCGTGCTTAAAAACAAGTAACTGGCCATTATAAATATATATATATATATATATATATATATATATATATATATATATATATATATATATATATGCAAATATATGGATATAAATCCGACAGTATGAAAGAAAAATACAGAAAAAACAAAATTCTGAATATGCATTATTAATGTTAAAATAAAGTCGACGTCAGACGTTTCGGTCTATTTAAGACCATCTTCATGGACATTTTCATTTAAACATAATTAACATTATAACTTATAACAATTTAACACAAAAGACGATGGACATAAGAGCCCAACTAATTCAAACAGATAACTGAAATTTTATACAGATCAGCGTTCTGTTTAAATATGATCACGTAGTCGTCACGTGGGCGATGTTGTTAAGACTTAATCGAAGATGATTTCCAAAAATTAAAATATCAAAAAGTCGATTGTTAGAGGTACTTATATAAATGTCATTAGAATTTTTACATCCAAGAAGTACCTCATCTTTTAATGTTTTTCTTACAAAGGAAGCAATCCTAAAAGAAAATGGATTACTTTAATCTAAACACAGATCAATCCTACATTTGCTACATTTGATTCGTCGAAAAAATCTTTGCTTTTGAATGAGTTAATGCTGACCGAAGTTTTCAAAATGAATGTCAGGAATTAAGTTTTCCAATATGATAGGTGATAAAAAAAAATCACTTAGAAACTAAGGCAGCACTGAATTAACAACTTGTTGTGTTATATCCAATCTGTCATTTATTTTTATTTCTACTTTTAAATCAATGTATGTCATACTCCTTATACTGTTCTCATTGCAATGGATACCAAATTTATTTTACTTGAATCATTATGTGGAGGAGATTTCTTTTCTTAATCATTACTTCTTAGTCCATATTTTATTCCTATCAGTGATTTTTTTCCTTTTTCTTTCACTCATGAATTATTTTCTGCATTTAAATAAAAGCATGCTTCCTTTTCAACTGCCTCCTCCTCTTTGCCCCCACCTTTTTTACCTTTGCCACCACACTACGTCTTTTCTCCTTGTTTCCCCCCCTCTCTGTTTCCTTGTTTCCTTGTTTTTCCCCTTGTTTCCCTCCCTACTCTGTCTTTTCTCCTTGTTTCCCTCCCTACTCTGTCTTTTCTTCTTGTTTCCCCCCCTACTCTGTCTTTTCTCCTTGTTTCCCCCCCCTCTGTTTTTCTCCTTGTTTCCCCCCCCTCTCTGTCTTTTCTCCTTGTTTCCCCCCTACTCTGTCTTTTCTCCTTGTTTCCCCCCTACTCTGTCTTTTCTCCTTGTTTCCCCCCCTTTTCTCCTCTTCTTCTTTTCTCCTTGTTTCCCCCCCTCTGTCTTTTCTCCTTGTTTCCCCCCTACTCTGTCTTTTCTCCTTGTTTCCCCCCCTACTCTGTCTTTTCTCCTTGTTTCCCCCCTACTCTGTCTTTTTCTCCTTGTTTCCCCCCTCTGTCTTTTCTCCTTGTTTCCCCCCTGTCTGTCTTTTCTCCTTGTTTCCCCCCTACTCTATTTTTGTCTTTGTCAGTATCTCTCCCCTGTCGTTTCTCTTTGTTCCCTCCCTCCCTCCATCGTTTCTCTTTGTTCCTCCCTCCCTCCATCGTTTCTCTTTGTTCCCTCCCTCCCTCCATCGTTTCTCTTTGTTCCCCTCCCTCCCTCCATCGTTTCTCTTTGTTTCCCTCCCTCCCTCCATCGTTTCTCTTTGTTCCCTCCCTCCCTCCATCGTTTCTCTTTCCACTTCCTCCCCTTTCTACCTTTCCCCACTTTTCCTCTTTTCTCTCATTCTTTCTTTATTCATTTCTTTCCCTCTCACATATTTCTATCTTCTATTCTTTTTTTCTTTTTTTTACTTTCTTTCCTACTATATATTATCAATTTCTTTCTTCTTACACCATCTTCTCAATTGTCTTCATCATCAAATTGTGCCTGCTTCTTGCTCTCTTTCCTCCCCTACCCCAACTCCCCTCCTCACGTAATTCTGTGCAACAAAACCAGGAGAGGAAACAGAATTCCTCTGAATATTGTGTTATCAATCGGTTAATATTAAAGAAAAAAAATACATGGTTAAATACTAAAAAAAATATTGTTTCAAATAAAGATTTTTTTATTAAATGAAATTAAAATAATTTTATCAATTTGTTTCTTTTTTGTTATTTATTTGTATTTTTGTTTATTTTGTGTTAATGGCTGAATTATTTTTCCATTTCAATATTTTTACTGAGGTAACCTCGTTAGCTTGTTTATGCAGATTGGCTAATTTTTATAAAAACTGAAAACAGAATCAACATTTCAGCCAAGGATATTACTTTCACCTTGTACTAATTCTCTTGGGAAAGGCATAAATCCAATTTCTTCTCCCTTTAGATAGTTATTGGTAAAATATACAGCAGACTAGACTCTTCAGCCTTAGTCATGCAACCAGTTTAAAACAATAATCCATTAGGAAAAACAACAGCAAACCATTCTCTGACCTTTCTCAAGAACTGCAGATAATAGAGTAAAAATTTATCTTTGGCGAATAATAATCATGTTTTTTTTAATATAATGGTAAAACATTAGCTAGCTGATGACTCCATTGCCACTAATTTCTTACCATTATGTCAGAGGTATTTCTGCCACACCCTGTACATATTAAGTAATAAGTATTTTGAATAATAGAGATTATTATCAAAAACAGAAATGATTTACACTATTTACGTTGTTTGGTCTGTTGTCCTCATCTTTATTGTTTTATCCATGACGTTTCAGCAATTGTAAGCTCTGGCCTTCTTCAGGTTTCAAACTGAACCCTTTATTTAGTCCACAGGGGTAGATTGTTCTAGTTCCACATGCCATGCCTTTTCTGGATGTCTCAGTTTCAGTTAATTCCCTTTAGTAACTTGACTCTCCAAGTGTTTGTTCACCTCTGCTGTATCCAGGTATTGAACTCACAACTCTTTGGGATTACATGACGTTTCAGCCATTGTCCCCAAGGACACAGCCCAGTCGATAAAAGCAATCATTGAAGTAATCCAAAACTGACATGACCCAAAGAGTTGTGAGTTCAATACCTGCCCACAGCAGAGGTGAACAAAAACTTGGGAGTTGAATTACATCCAGAAAAGGTATGGCATGTGGAACTAGAACAATCTACCTCCGTGGACTAAACAAAGGGTTTTTTTCAAAATTCCAATGTATATCACCTGAAGAAGGCCAGAGCATACATCGGCTGAAATATTGTGAATATGACAACAATGTAAATAGTTACAATACCTCATCTCAGAAATATAGACAGAGCAATGATGTAGGACTAAAACTAATACATTTTGGAAGGAAATAACCACAGTCAGTGCTTCAATAATCTTGCAAAGTCCCTGGTCTGATGTTGTATTAATAGAAAAGTCTTTAAATGTAAGATTCCCAAAGTGGGTGGTTCCACCTTCCTGGGACAGTGAAAAGAGCCACTGTGGTGGTAGAATGCTTTGGAAAAAAAGTGAAGGTGGCATTAAAACCAAATAATAATTTTTACTTTTGATTACAAAAAGTCACTGATAATTGAGGAATGTGTATGCTTGACAAAAATTGACATAAAATTGACATCAAATTTATCCATCAATGCATGTTATTTTTTATTGTCCAAAGTCTGAACGTTTGTTTGTATTTTGCTAATGTTATCTGGACAGGGCAGCTTATGCCACACGTTAACTAAGATCAGACAGCTGCAAGGTCCATTGCTCTAGTGTTTTAGGTGGAGCAATACAGTAATGGATGTTCATCTAGTGACATCATATCTAACATGTTTAACCAACACGAAACTGTCAGGTCATGTATCTCTTTAGAACACTCTTTTGTTTGTGGTTTTTAATTAAACTTTTATTGCTGAAGACTTGATGCTAAGAGACATGACCTACTTGATTAAAAGACTTGATGCTAAGAGACATGACCTACTTGATTAAAAGACTTGTGAGTTCTGGTTCTGGTTGTGCTAAAAAGTCATAAATTGGTTTAGTGAAAGAAATTGACAAGAGTGGTTAGTGCTCTTATGCAGAGTCAGAATTTTTCTCAATATGCAATAAAAGAGAATCTTAATAAGGTGAGGGTCAGAAAATGACTTCTTTTATATGCTGTGTCCCTTCAGGATGTAGGCGATCTTAGTTCTCCAGTTCCTTGTAGCTTTTTTTGTCTTTTTGTTATTTCTCCCAGATCCTGTTCTGCTATGCATTTGCTTAAACCCATTAAGTATGTCACGCATTTTTTTTCCTCTGTTCCTCAATCGGTCCTGTGAGTATCAGATTTTCCAAGCCCTCCTTCCTTATTACATGTCCCAGAAATTTCAAATGCTGCTGCCTGATGTCAAGTATAAGTTTCCTCTTTGTTTCCATTCTCTCCAAAACCTCATTGCTCATCACATGTTCAGCCCATAGATGTTCAGAAAGTGCAAAATTTTACAAATGGGATAGACTGATCAGAAAATTTCATCAAAAAAAATATATATATAAATAAATAAGCTCCCCCTCCCCAAACACCAAAAAAAAAAAATAAAAAAAAAACAATATTAGGCCCCTAAAAAGCATCAACTGATATTGAAAATATTAGCTAAGCCTAGAAAATGGAATAAGAACAATTTATGGCTGTGGTTTGAATATCGTTTGGTTACCAATTATGTTGACACAAAGCTGAGGGCTGCAAGTGTAAACTACCAAAATTTGTTTTAACCCTTTAGCATTCAACATGCTCAAAGCCTCCCCATAGATATTGGCTCTTAATCATCAACCTGCCATAAACCCTCCCATATATATATTCTGCCATAATATAAGACATCATCTTACTTATTATAAAACGCAGATTGTGTGTGTGTGTGTCTGTACGTTTATATATTGGATCGGATTTCCTACATTTTTCAACTGATTTTAACAAAACTTCACAGGACTGCATAAAATTACCTTGCGGTGGTTCTGACAGTGCAAAACATTGGAAAAACACAATTGTTTTTGCACAAAATCAATTTGAAATCACGATTAAAATGCATCACTGTCACGAGAATGAAAGGGGGACAACTCATATCAAGTTATACTTATTATAAAACCCAGGTTGTTTGTGTGTGTGTGTTCATTTCTATATGGGATCAGATTTCCTACATTTTTCAACCGATTTCAACAAAACTTCACTTTTTTTTTTGGCAGGTAGTGTTTCTTATTGTCTTGCATACTTTTTCTTTATTTTTACATTCAGAATGTTTTAAAAATTCCATTTACAAGACAATTGTTTATAATAAAATTCTATTCAATCGGTAGACTCATAACGATTGAAAACAATGTTTTTGTTTCAGTTTGGGTTTGACCAAGTCGTAAAAAAAAAAACAGGTAACACTTTGGCAGTATCTTCCTCATTAGAGCACACTCACATTGAAAACAACCTTCTGTCACCCTGGGAATATGAGTAAATAAGGATCAAAGTGTAGTATCAGTTCTCTCTTCCTCTTCATATTATAAAGGATACATTGTCCTGGAAATTCTAACCCTGCAGCAGCACCTCCCTCATAGTGCTGAAGAGGAAAGGTCGATAGATACGAACATCACCATCACAGATGGAGGAGATACTAGATAATTTTTGTCCTTGACCTATATCTAGGCACCTCCGCATGAAACTAGATTGGTGTCACATCCTACACTGTGGGGAGGTGGGTAAATACTGAGATCTCAGTGTAGCATCTGTTGTTATTTCTGCTTTGGCACAGTTTATGGTTTTTTTTTGTAATAAGGAATGCTTAGTCCCAGGGACTCTACATTTATGTCAGCACCTCCCATATTTTACTAAAGAGGGATAGTTGATGGTGATAAACACCAGCATGACACTGGTCGCAGAGACTCAGCAATTATTGTCTTGGCCCATATGTGTACCCCACATGAAGCTGACCTTGTATCATATCCTAATGCTGTGAAGAAATAGTCATACCATCATGTAACAAGGGTTAACAGAAAAGAGAGCTAGTGAGTCAACATTTAAACCAACCACTCTCCCATAATTGCCTTACCTTTTAAGATAGTACCAGAAAGTTACTGTTTTTGTTACCAGCCAAACTCCCTCCCCCAAACACACACACAAGTTTTCACTACAAATGATCATACTTAGTAGTGGGTCATTGAATGAAAAAGTAGAAAGAAATCCTATGTAACATGTTTCGATCTTCAAAAGGACTTCTTCAGACTAATGTCTTTATTGACAAAATCATGTACATGTAGCAAAAGGGAATGAAATATAACAAATGATGGTTATAGTGAGAAATGATAAAGATCAAAGTATACTTAACTTTAAATTTCTACATTCAGTGTATCTAGATGCACAACCTAGCAGACCTCATTCAAATTTCTATACTTTTTAATCATTTCACCCCAAGCAAGGTGGGAATGCCACTAATACACAGGAGGTTACAGGTAATGAAAGTGAAAGGAGAGAATTGAAGAGAGAACAAAAGAGGGGTTTCAAGAAGAGAGAAAATAGTCATTGATGTTGCATTTACATTTTTGAAGTATATATAACCTACTTAACATGCTTGTGTAAATGCATGGCAGAACAGTTTAGAAGATAGCAAAAAGACAAAATTTACTTAGAACTACAAAGCACAGGAAGCTGTGGAGAACCATGATGACCCAAGTCCTGAAGGGACACGGTATATAGTAAAAGAAGAACAAGCTTTTGTAAATGGTTAGCAGGATAGGTTTTCGGAGAGATAGCAAAATGATAAAATTTACTAAGAGCTACAAAGCACAGGAAACTGTGGAGAGCTATAATCACCAACATTCTAATCGGACATGGCACATAGTAAAAGAAGTTTTTGTAAATGGGTGGCAGGACAAGGTTTTGGAGAGATAGCAAAATTTAGTAAGGGATACAAAGGACAGGAATTTGTGGAAATCCATGATTGCCAATATTCTGAAGGGGCATGGCACATAGAAGAAGATTGCTATGAATGTTGGAGTTGTTACTGTTGCCTTCTCCTTGGTGACTTTATCGAGACACCATCATAATTAGCTGACTTTTGACTCTTTTGAGCTTACATCC